AATGAAATTATAACAATTTTTGTTTATAACTATATCACTTATTAATTAATTAACTATACGACACTATAATTATATATTATAGTTAATTTCTATTATTTATCATATTATTATATTTTTAATTATTTTTAAACTATAATAAAAAGGTATATTTATTATAATTAGGTTAGTTAGCTAAACATAGTACACTTATCTAACTAGGTATATAGTTAACTAACTATATAGTATTAAGATTAACTCAATTTAATCAATAATGTTTTTTTAAAACGAAACAATTTGTTGTAAAATCTTTTTAAGTAGACGTTATTATATAGCTCTTGTCAAAAGATTTTATATTCTGACCAATATGTATCTATTTTTTTATCACAAATATTATTATCCAAAAGATATGTAAAAATTCTTGATTGGGAACAATTGCAAATTATAATTAATTGATTTATTGATTACATTATAAATTTAAACAACGAAATATAACATATTTTGTTCTTTATTAATTCAAGTAAAAAAAACTTGTAAATCATTTGTTTGTAATGATAAGATTGTTTTTTATTTTTGTGTTGATAACTTTGGCGTTATCAATATGTCCACCAAATGATATTGAAGGAACAGAATATGTTTTGACTGAAAATGATGTGTGTGAATATGTAGAATCATTAACAATCACATTAAGTAAGTTACAAATGACTACTGGCTCGACTTTAAAAACAGAAAAGAATTTGGAACTTGTAGGAACACAAATTACACTCAAATCAAATTGCAATTTAAATGTTTCTGAATTGTTTAAATTGGAATATGAAAGTACGTGTAATGCGACTGGTAATTCAATTATAAATACCAATCAAATGGAAATTAGTTCATCTACAATAGATCTTACAGATAATTCAATAATAAATACCAATCAATTGGAATTAAGTTCATCAACAATAATAAATCTTTCTGGATATTCCACTCTAAATTCTGTTGAAAATTTGATTTTTGACAATTCTTATTTTAATCTTTCTGAAAATGCCCGCCTTTTAGTGGAAGGTAATATATCTTTGAGTAGTAGTACATCTCCAAATACACTTTCAGGAAAATCAAGACTTGTTTGTCATAATTTGGTTTCCCAAACTGCTAGCAGTCAAATTTCAATCAATGAAAATTCATACATTGAGTTGCTTGGTTCTTTTATTTTCAAATTGTCTCGAAATAATCTTCAGATGTCGAGTTCAACACAACGAATTAATTTTGTATCAAAATCGTTTGAATTGACAAGAGAATTTGTTGCTGATAATCGAAGTACAATTCAAACAAAAAATCTCATTTTAACTTTGACAAACACATTTAAAGTCTCCACAGATAGAACAATCAAAGATCTTCCACTCTTTTTTGTATCGAACACAACATCAATAACTGGGTTTAGTGGTTTTACACACGATGGCGATTTCGACTTTTTGTATTCAAACAACACACTTGACACGACATTGTACACAACCCCATTCAAAGTACTTTTAGAAGGTCACCTATTACGGTATGGTGCTTCAGATAAGATATATTGTCATGTAAACCACACGGAAGACACACGACATCCATATTACATCGAAAAGTATTGCTTACTTACCGATGCATACATCACACCAATTGATACCTTTTATCAAATGAAAGTCAAAGTAGGTGTGCCAAAACAGAATTTAAATGTAAAAAATGAAGAAAACGAAGATGTAATTGTAATTGGAAGCCAAAAATATGATTTGTCACTCACCGATTTTATTGAGATTGAGATGGAGTCTGACAATTTAGTGGTTTTAGATAATTTTACAATCACAAAAAATGTATTTCTTGTTGCGGCAAATGGGTTTGTATACAACAACACATCGTGCAACTCGGGGTACTTCCAAAACGGCATATTCATCTGTCAAAATCATTTACCATGTTCTGAGGGTGGTAAAACGGCTGATGGAAGATGTGCAGCATGTCAAGTCACTTATTGTGTGATGTGTGATGGTGACAAAGGCAATTGTATAAAATGCAACGAGAATTTGACATACAATACCAAATCAAACACGTGTGAAGAATACACAAACTGTCTTTCATTTACAGAAGACAAGTGTCTTCGATGTAACGATGGCTTTGTATTTGAAGGTAACAATTGTGTTGATATCACTGAAGACAACGGAAATTGCCAGATAAAAGTCGGCGTTCCATCAGAGTGCAGATTGTGTGATTTAACAAACATAACATTAATCAACACTAATGGAGTATGCAGTGTTGTAGACAGCAATGTTGTTGTTCACAGTCTTTCAAATGTTGTTGAATGCAAAGATGGGTTTTATGTACAAAACAACAAATGTAACGACTGCACAATTAACAACGAAGGAAGTTTGTTGTGTTCATTCAAAACCACTGAGAAGTGTGATAAGATGTATTACGTGAAAGAAGATGGCAGTGTTTGTGTCAAAAACGAGTGTTCAGATGGAATAAACAATGAAGAGAACGGGAAGTGTGCGCCACAAATAGACAACTGCGTGAAGTACGTGAATGGCAGGTGTGTCGAATGTTCTTCAAAGTACTCATATGATGGCGATGTTAGTTGTGTTGATCAAACAAAAGTTGATGTGAACTGTGGAACAGCAACTCCGGTTGGGTGTATCAGATGTGATGGAAATACATTTTTGAATGTAATGACACACAAATGTGAGACGTGCAACTCAAATTGTGAAAGTTGTTTGGATACGACGATGTGCCTGTCATGTGTAGATGGGTACTTTTTGAGTGACCACATCTGCAAATCGAATGACGCTTTGAATGACACTTGTGCACGAAAGGTGCCAAATGGGAATGGCTGTTTGGAGTGCAAAATTGGGTATTACAAGAAGGGAGCAGATTGTGCGCAATGTGATGTCAAATGTGGCGAGTGTCTGACAGAGAATTCGTGTATTAAATGTAATGCAACAAACTACAAAACGAGTAATGGTGATTGTCTTCCGCGCTCTTCAATATCGACGTGTGCAGTTGAAGTGACTGAAAGTGGCTGTTCAACGTGTAAAGACGGGTATTACACTGTCAATGGAAATGAGTGTCAGAAGTGTGTTGAAGGGTGTACAAAGTGTTTAGAACAAAATCGGTGCACATCATGTGATGATACATATGTACTCAAAAGCACCAGTTGTGTGCGTTATAACACCATCACAAAGTGCACAAAAACAAAAGACTCAAAATGTTCTTCATGTACATTTTGGTATTCACCAAGTGACGATGGCACATATTGTTCAAAAACGGCTGTGTGGTGGGTGATACTTCTTATAGTTGTTGTTATCATCGCCATTCTTGTGTTGGTCACAGTGTTGGTTTTCTTTGTAATGGTTAAAGTAATTAAGAACAAAAGAGATACCAGTGGACTCACACTCTTCAAATTAAAGCACACAAATATGATTTTCGTTAAAATGGCAGACGGTCTGACAATTCACACCAGAAATGAAGAATTTGTGATCACCGATGATGACCAAGACTATGAGGAAATTGATGTTAACAAAGAAATTAAAAATCTGTTTTCGATTGGAAACACAACAAACCACAAAGTGAAGATTCAGTTCACTTCTAAAAACGATATTGAAAAATACACAATCCGTTTTGAACCTTCAATTGCAACAATTCCACCAAAGTTCGCATGTGAATTTAGTCTATTTCTTAATCCATTGTGTACATCGACAATAGACAGTACTTTTGTTGTTAGTTATCTCTTTACTACAAGTGATGGTATATCGTGTGCACATCATGTTAATTTTAAATACACCACCAAACTATCAACACGACTTGATCCAGACGAGTTGGTTGAAGAGAAGAAACTCGGAGAAGGTTCTTTTGGAATTGTGTTTAAAGGTATTTTCAGAGGAAATATCGTTGCTATCAAAAAGATGAAAAATTTAGTCAATTCTTCACATCAAATGGAAGAATTTGAGAATGAAGTTTTAATGTTAGACAAGTTCAGAAGTGAATTTATCGTTTACTTTTATGGCGCTGTATTCATACCAAACAAGATATGTTTAGTCACCGAATTTGCACAATATGGAAGTTTACAAGATTTAATGAAAAATAAAAAGAGTGAAATTATTAATATAAAACTTCGTGTTAAATTCATTTTAGACGCTTCAAAGGGAATTTTATATCTTCACGAGAATGGGATGCTACACAGAGACATCAAACCAGACAACATCCTCGTGTTGTCATTGGATTTGAATGGAATTGTGAATGCAAAGTTGACTGATTTTGGAAGTGCTAGAAATGTCAATTTATTGATGACTAATATGACCTTCACAAAAGGAATTGGAACACCAATTTATATGGCACCTGAAGTGTTGAAACAGGAAAAATACACGAAAAGTGCGGACGTGTATTCATTTGCAATAACCATGTTTGAGTGTTTTTCTTGGGAAGAGGCATATCCTATCACCACATTCAAATTTCCTTGGAAAATTGCAGAGTTTGTTTCATCTGGAAAGCGTCCTGATAAAAGTGAAACAATCCCAATTGTGTTGTATGAATTGATACAAAATTGTTGGGGACAGAAACAAAAAGAGCGATATGATATTCATCGCATCGAAGAACAGTTGCAATTTCTGTTTAATCAACAATAACAAAATTATTGAGACAATAAACTATAAAAATAATTGACTTTAACTAGTGATACGAATAGCAATGGTTTTATATGAAGTGAATATTATTTTAAATAGGATAGAAATATAATTATTTTTTAAGTATTATTCAATAATAAAAGTGTTATCTTTACTTTTACTAATAATATTAATATAATTTATAATATATATTATAATAAATTATAGCACTGGAAAATACCAAATCATTTTTAACAACACAGTTTTATAATTTGATTTTTTAAATGATTGAATTAATCATTTTTAATTAAAATAACTTAATAATCAATGACATTTTTTAACATAAAATAAACACAAAGTCTGAAATTCTTTTTACTTATATAACTATGTATTGTTAAAAACAAATAATATCATTTCATATATGAGTGGAATTCATTTTTGTGTTTTTAAAAATACAATTACTTCTAAATTAAAAATAAATATTATCGAAACAAAAAGTTTATAATTTTTTGAAAAACAAACACAACAAAATTAATATCTATTATTGATTTTGACTTCATTTTGTTTTGGTATTACCAATTTACAAAATTTTCATTAATTTAATTTTTATTGCAAATAACAAATTGTTGCCATTTCATTTGAAAATCACGCAGAAATACCTTCCTATTTTTCAAATAAAATCACTTGAACAAACTTTGAATAATAATGTCTTTTCCACATTATTTTTCTTCCTTGTTTTATCATTCATCGTTTTCATTCTTTTTGTTCTGATAACTCCAACACGACACGACCTTTCTTGTACATATTCTTTTTCATCGCCGAGTGTCAGTGGAAGTAATCAACACATCGACATTCCATCACTTGATGTATTCAACACCAAGTTTACACACAATAAGTCGACTGGGGATGTTTTATTACAAAAATAACCACATTGACGTTTCCAAATTCAATTACAGTGGGGTATGTGGTGATGTCTTCAAATATGGTCCAAATACTAAAAGGGATTTGGTTATTGGGTCATACGATTTCAAACACAAATGTATCAGAGAGTCTGTATTCCAAGCACTTGAGATGGCACGAATTGCAATGCCCGATTGTCGAATCGTGTTTCTACTTTTCAGTTCAATTCCATCAACTTGTGTTGGTAATTTTAAAAGGCTTTCAGACCTCCACGTCGAGACTTATAAAGTGACAAGACACCCCTTCCAAGATGCCGTTGTTTTTAGATTCATTGCATTCAGAAATTATATAACTAAACACATCAACGAAATTGTTGTTATTATTGACTTCAGAGATGTTCTATTCTTTGCAGACTTTTTCAGAACTTCCGATGCGAATGAAGTCAATTGACTACTTGAGTGCTATGGTACAAACAACCCAAACGACTGTTTTGGACCAGCCAACTTCCCAGAACACGCAAGGTGGATACGAAGATACATTTCGTCTTCAATTGCAGACGACTTTGTTCAGAGAAACATCTCCTCATTAAATGGTGGTTTTGCTTTTGGTGGCGCTGAAAATATGAAAGAGGTGCTCAACATATTATGTGATAATATGAATTGGAAAGAAATGATGTGGGAGTATGATCAAGCGTTACTTAACGTGTTGTATTACACTGGAAAGTTTGAAAATGTTGGGCTGCAAGCAGTTGCGTGTCAACAGAGAGTGTGATATATTGGCATAAATGGATTCAGAGTCGAAAATAAAGTCATCTATTGGAACAACACATTGTGCTCTCCTGTGGCAACACACAAGTTTACAACCAATTCGACACATTTGGAGAATCAGGTAATAATATAACATATTTTTATCAATTAAATTTTGTTATATTTTTAAATACAGAGTTTTTTATAGTAATTATAAAATAATAGAGTCATTTTTATTTTTAACATTATCTTTCATTTCGACATTTTAATACGTGGATATGATAGGTAAATTTTTGTCCAAGCTATTAAATTATCAATTCTTTCGATTTTAATCATTTTTAAATTCAAAATAATTTGTTCATTATTTTTTGGAAAAGATATAACATTTAAAAAAATAAATTTTTCAGCCCAAATCCACTAAAAATTACTTTTTTATTTTTTAGAGCCTCTTCTAAACTGCTAAATAAATTTAACATCAAAACAAAATATACATTAAAAAAATATCTTAAACTTTTTGTTAAAGAACAAAAAAATAATTAATAAATTGAAAGCTACATAAAGAATTATTTCAAACAAATTATTACTTATTAATATATGGTATTGTGTTACAACACAACAATTGATATAAATAACTAATATAAATTGGAATAAATAAATTAACTTCTAATTTGCTTAA